TGTAAAGGTCACGTGCGTCACAGCCACAGCCCGCGTGGCCAGAATACAATAAATTGACTTTTTAGAAATTTACTTGTTTGAATTCTGACGACAAGTTAAGTCCATGACGCACAAAGATTACATTCTACAAATTATACTTATTACTTCTCGCAGTCGCTCCTTATGCGTCTAAGGTTCTCCAATATAGGGTATCAAAGTTACCTTGTAAGAAAACTGTTACCTTCATGGGTCAAATTATTATGGGAATCTACAAAACGTTCCGACTTGCAACGTCAAGTTTAAAACGTTTCTGTTTGCAACATCAAGTTGAAAACGTCGAGTGCGGCGTGACAGTGACGCACATCTTGGGTCCCACACAGGATCGCCTACACCCACCGCAGCTGAGTTTTAAATGAAGTTCCCTAAACAACGTCGAATCCCACCCCTCCCCCGCTCCTCCCCCGCCCATTTAAACTCCCACAGATTTGTGATTTGTGTCCCACCTTTTCATCCAAAACATTCATTCCGTCGCTGAGACGGGTGACTGCGTCTCTACGGTCAGGGCTGTATGCGCGTGGCTTATATACATTGTACTACCCGGCCCGCAAACAAACAGACGAGCCTCCTAGCCGAGTGTCCTGGCCCCGCCACGCCATGCCGCACCACACCGCACCGAACCGCAATGCACCGCACGGAGCCTCACGAAGCCGCACCGCGCCGCACCGAACAGCACCGCACCGAACCGCAATGCACCGCACGGAGCCTCACGGAGCCGCACCGCGCCGGCGCGTCCCGCCCCGCCTGACGGATTGCGTGTGTTCCGACAGGTTGCCTACTTCACAGGCGCGGCGGAGGTTCCCAAACAGCCGCAGCACCCCACCCCCCAACGCCAACCCCTCGCCTCACTCCACCATCACCACCACCACTTCCTTCTGCCAGCCGGGTAAGTAGGTAGGGCAGGGCAGTGCGTTCAAGTCCCATACCCTCTCCCTTCGTGGTGCGGACCAGGTCAGTCCGCTCCGCCTCCTGGAAGAAGGACTTCGGCGAGCTGTCAGCCTCCTCGTCAAGCTATCGCGCCGCCCCGGGGCCCGGACGGCCCGGGCCGCCGCCGTGACGCAGCCGGGTGCGAAGGGAGCGGAAGCCGACGGCGGCCTTTATTACTCGTGAATAGCTATCGGATCGATGTAAACTTTGGGCGCGCCCGCGCCGCCCGAGCAGTGAGGAGGAGGAGGATGAGGAGGAGGAAGAGGAGGGAGAGGGAGGAGCGAGGAGAGAGGAGGAGGTGCACGTCAATGCCTCCGCCATTGACACAGTTCCCTGTGCCTACGCGCCTCGCCGCGAGACGTGCAAACAAGAAGTTTCTCACTCTCACCCTCCCCCGTTCTTCGTCAAGGCATCGTGCGAGAAACAACTTTTTAGTCATTAAGGTAATAGGCTTATTAGGATTGGCTTGGCAAAAAAAAGAAAAGAAACAACTTTCTGATCTATGTTGATGCTTTCGCAGGGAAACGAAACCAATTAGACCAATTAGACCAATTAGACGTCTAAATTTAACCCGGTGTGGGGGGGGGGGATCATTAGTGGAAGAGACACTGGCTGCCAGGTGGACCCGCCGTCTGCCCGGGCACCACTGCCTCCCGCCCGCCTCTTTCCCCCCCACCGCTCCCCGCCCCGTCACACGAATCGATACGTTTGACGACGGCTAGTGTACAGTTAGTTGGATCAAAGTACAATAATTTCTTGGAAAACTATAAACCACAGTCCTCCAAGTGTATACGATGTGTCCCCGCCCCCTGCTGCAGGGGTACGATACATCGCGTCCTCGCAGGGGACGGAAGTACACTGCCCACCACCACCACCACCTCCACCACCACGCGGGCGCGGGGGGCAAACAGATCCAGGGGGGCGTAGGTGTCGCCCACGCGCCGAGCAGGGGGAGCAGGGGGTATGGGAGAGGACAGTTTGCGTGTAACCGAGCTCCCCTATCGTCCAGAGCATCGCACACGGCCTGCTGCGCGAGGGGCCGCTGCGGGGCCGCCGCCCACGGCAGAAGGGGCGCGAGAGTCGGGGTCGCGCTCTAAATACACGCGACTGAACGACAGCTGACCGGGTCGAAAAGGAGCAGCGGCAGAGGGCCCGCGCCACCACCGGCCGGGCAGGATTATTTTTAATGACGAGAGTGGTCACTCCATCAGAATCTCCCTCCCTCTGGCCCGACGGCCGACGTGTACGTCTCGCGAGGCCGCCGCCGGCCGCCGCCCCCGGCAACAGCGGCCGCCCCGCCCGCCGCGGTTTTACGATGCAAATGTGGCGGGGCAAACAACCTCCGCGGCATGAATACCTCATGAGGCGGCCACGGTAAAAGTCCCTCCCGCCGCCGGCGTCCTGGCCGAGGAGAAGTAATGACGAGCACCCGGCCCAGCCCGGCCCCGGCAAAGGTGACAAGTTGACAAACACCTCACGACACTACTACCAGTCTGAACACTACTCGCCGCATCGACCCGGCCGCCGCCGCCGGCCAGCAGGACCGGACCTGCCGCCATGTCACAGCGAACAGGGCCGGATTACGCTGTGCGAGCGAGAGCAGCGCGGGCAACACGAAATGATCATCAGGGTGAGGCCATGTTATTGACGTTTTCTAAGGTCAGAATCAAGGCTGACAATTTCCGCCGAACACGCAGTGCGTCACTTTGACGTCGGTGTGATGATGAAGGCTTTGTTAAAGCTTATTCGTTCAAGTTGGGTTAGGAATGAGCGCCGTCAACGGGAAGCGCCCGCCGAGCGCAGGGTAGGCAACCCGCATCGCACGGCCGCACGGACAGCTCCCCGCCTCCCCCGCCCCCGCCAGCCCCGGCCCCCGGAGACTCACGTGTCGTCGGCGGCGTCCTGCTTCGGGGCGGCGCGCTTGGACCTGCCGCCGCCCTGCATGAGGACCCGCGGCCGCGAGGCGAACGAGTACAGCATGGACGACGAGTTGAGGGACGAGCCCGGGTGGTGGTGGGAGGCGCAGAGCGAGGACTCGGCCGACGAGGCCATCGACGAGATGCCCGACGACAGGCCCAGCAGCGCGGCGAGCTCCGGCGGCGGCTTGAGGAACGTGCCCTGGCGGACCACCGTCATGAAGGGCCTCGGGTGCTGCACGACGTGCTGCTCTTGGCCCTTGGCCTCCGGGTTGGCGTCCGGGGCCGGGGCGGCCCGCCGGTGCCGGGTGCGGCCGCCGCCCCGGGTGTAGTCGTGCAGGCGCTGCAGCTTGGCGTCCAGGCTCTGCAGGAACGTCATGCTAACCCCTGTGCTGCCCGGCTGCGCGCCGACGGTCGCCTCGTTGTTCTTCCGCGACAGGAAGAAGTTCTTGTTGTTGCTGTTCTTGCTGGGTACCTGGTTGTTGGGCAGGTGGCCGTTGGAGGCGCTCAAGTGCTTCAAGTTGACGCCGGGCGCCACATGTTCCTGCGGCAGGTGGCCGTTGGAGCGGCTGTAGACCTTGTGCTCGGCGCGCAGGTTGCTCGGCTTGCCGATGTTGTTGATGACCGTCTTGATGTTGGCGGCGGGCGGCGGCGCGTCCGCGTTGTCCGGGCCGTCGCCCTCCTGCATCACCTGGAAGGCGAAGCCCCCGGGGTCGCCGACATACTCGGCCTCCGTGACGCCGGCAGCCAGCAAGGAGATCTCGGCGGGGCCGGCGCCGCTAGCCACGATCTCGATGGTGACGGGCTGGGCGGCGAACATGTCGTCGGTCGGGTGCTCCGCGAGCAGAGGAGGGCCGCAGTGCGCGACCCGCACGCATTTGTGCCGCAGCGCTGCGGCCGGCGTGGTGCTCGCTGGGGGCGGCGTGGCGCGCGCTGCGGGCGGCGAGGGCGGCGGCGAGGGAGCGGCGTGCGGTGTCCAGGGCCCCGGCGCCGCCACTGGTCAGGGCGCCTCTGGCCAGCGGCCAGCGCAAGCGCCACCTCATGGCCGGCACATGAGGGCGGGAGGGGGTGGGGGTAACGTCGAAGCGCGGGGTGCGGGCCCCCGGGGGCGTGGGGGTGAGGGCGCGTGGGGGTTACAAACTGCGGTGGACTCGCCCGCTGTGGCTCGCCGCGGGAGCCCCCGTCGTGCGGCTCGGCGCTGGTGACGCCAAACACATTGTGGGACGAGCCCAACG